TGGTGATAAAAGTCGTTGCTGGTCACAAACCTTTGAGTCAACGAAACTTTTGATGGTAGAGTTAACGAGGCGTTTCGGGTACTTCAAACTGAACGGGAGAATACAATCTTCAAGACAAGATGAGGATAAACGATCTGCTTGATCAAGCATAGTTCTCAGCAAGCCATTTTGGCACCTATTGTCAACATGACTCTGACAGTGCAAGAGCAGACCTGAGTTAGTGGGTTTTATGTGCACCTTTGTCTCTATTTGAGGCGATCGATTCGATAACTGGATACCCAGAAATGGGAGCATTCGATTGCGTTCGGTTTCCATCATGTATTTTACAGAGGAATGTGCTTTGTTAAGCGTGTCCAGGAAGTTAGATATTGTTGCTATATTCGGCATGATGGCGAGCGTATCGTCAACATATCTTCGATAGAAAGAAGGAAATTTACCCTCTAGCTCAAGGTTTTCAATTCAATGAAGCCCTGTACGAACAGACGGATGGCTATGGGATCCCCTCTTGGTCCCTTACTAGCTAATGTGTTCATGTCCCACATCGAAGAAAACCTTGAGCTAGAGGGAAGAACTCAATACAATACGCTCACCATCATGCCTAATATGTTTGATTGCGCGCGCTAAATAAATCACGGTGATAACCGGTCACTAAACTAAACCAGAGGAGAGCTCTCAGTGACGCTATAAGCGTCGTTGCGACGATTTTGTGATGAAAATCAACGACAGTGGTTTTTATGTCACCATTTACCATTTAGTTTAAAGATATTTATAAATGTGTTGCCTTTGCTGTGTGTAAGGCGAATTCCAAGGAAATCTAGCGTGAAGAAATATATTTTCCTTCTTTTTCAGAAAAATACTGTCGGCATTTTTGTTCGAGATTGAAGGCTAATTATCTCGAAAAAATGCCTTGCTACTCCTAGTTTTCTTTGTGGATTCCAATCACCCTTTCTACGATCTACTTTTTTATATGGTCGTTATATAACAAAAAAGCCTATGTATTTAATAGGCACCGTCCTTAACGCGTCGGCTTGGGCTTGTAGCCGATATAACGCACCCTCTGATTGGCGAATTCTCGGGCGTTGCTCTCTCGTAATGCCCTCGGGCCGATTAGGAGCAAAGCAAAGGGTAATTAAAAAACTATTGCCTTTTATCTGAAAATTATAGCGGCCTGAAACGATGAGTGACGAGGAACGCTCTAAGAGTAAAATTCTATTTAAAACATGAGGAGGTAC